CATCACGCTCACAGCAACCTCCAACTCCTGGGCTCAAGCGAGTCTCCTGCCTCAGCCTCCCAAGTAGCTGGGACTACAGGCGCCCACCACAACGCCTGGCATTTTTTGGTTGCAGCCATCATTGTTGTTTGGCAGGCCCGGGCTGGGGATTCGAACCCGCCACCTTAGGTGTATGTGGCTGGCGCCTTAGCCTTAGCCGCTTGAGCCACAGGCGCCGAGCCACAAAATGGAAGTTTTATAATTTTGTTCTGAGATAGTCTTGCTCTGTTGCCCAAGACAGATAACAATGGCATCATTAGGGCTCACTGCAACCTCAAACTCCTGGCCTCAAGTGATTCTCCTGCCTCAGCTTCCCAAGTAGCTAGGACTACAGACACATACCACTAGACTCAGCTAATTAAAAAAAAAAATTTTTTTTTTGCAGGTTTTTGGCTGGGGCTGGGTTTGAACCCACCATTTCCGGTATATGGGGGTGGTGCCTTTTTTTAGAGACCAGGTCTTACTCTTGATCAGGCTGATTTCAAACTCCTGTCCTCAAGCAATTCTCCCACCTTGGCCTCCTAAAGTGCTAGGATTCTAGGCTCCAACTCCACACCCAGCCAAAATGAAAGTTTTAAAAGCCGTACACAGCCAAAGAAAGCCTCTGTGGCAAGAACCTAGCGTGTGGGCCACCACTCTGTCACTTACGCTGTCTGCTGGTATTCTGATTTTTCCCTCTTTTTTTTTTTTTTAAACCTTCCCTCTTCAATTTCTCACTGGCAGGTATGCCACAGCCCTGGAGGACACGGTAGATACCAGCAAGCTGTTCAAGAGCCGCTCCCTTCGAGAATTTGAGGAGACCCTCTTCTGCCATACCAAAAGTTTCCCTATCAGCTGGGATACCTACTGGGACCACAATGACCCTCTTCGGGATGTGGATGAGGCAGCTGTGCCTGTGCTGTGTATCTGCAGCGCTGATGACCCTGTGTGCGGGCCCCCAGAACACACTCTGCCCACTGAACTCTTTCGGAGCAACCCTTATTTCTTTCTCTTGCTCAGTAGCCACGGGGGCCACTGTGGCTTCCTGCGCCAGGAGCCCTTGACAGCCTGGAGCCATGAGGTCATCCTGGAGTCCTTCCGGGCCTTGACTGAGTTCTTCCGGATGGAAGAGAGGCTGAAAGGGCTGAGTAGGCGCAGAGCTTCATTCCTAGGGGGCCGGCGTCGCTGGGCAACCCTGCAGAAGCGGGAGGTCTCTCCCTCTTCCAATTTGGGGGAGACTTTTAGCTGGAAGCGATCATATACAAGGTGAGACCTGGCCTGAGAACCCCCCAGTCCTGTAAGAGAGCATGTAGGAGTCCCGGAAAGATGGTGAGGACTAGACAGGGGCAGCTGCAGCTCTTTGCTCCCGATTCAGCCCCTTCTCTCAAAGTGATCCGTGAAAAGAAGTTCCAGCAAGTCGGCGCTCGCCTCACCCGGAGCAGAACTCCTGTCCTGACACCGCTTGACATATCCCTGCTCCTCTTGGTCAGCAGCAGGGCATTCCTGGTCACTGTCACCTGTCACCAACTCAGCCAAAGAATAGCACCTTTAAAATCCATGGAGAAAATGCTCTCTTACTAGTAATGGCTACAAGGATGATTAATTTGTGTGTGTCATTGGGCAGCTTTGTCCCACATAAATAATTAGCTCAGTGACCCTGATTCTGGAGGTGGAGCCACTTGATGTAGTAAGGACAGGACAGGATGTTTGTGTCTTGGTCCCACTTCCCTCATTTGCTTTGTGGGACAGTGCTGTGCTCTGACTTACTGTGGTAGCAGGCTCTCTGGGTTGCTCGGCTATTTCGGGCTTGTGTGAGTGAGGAAGGAAGCAGGGGCAGCAAGTGCTGTGCTGGGACTGCCTTGGTGAGGGCTGCCAAGATAGAGCATGTGAACCTATCTCTGGAATACCTTAGTCCAGTCCCGGAGGAGCTCTGCAAGTCTCCCCTGGGAATGGGGCTGACCTAGGGTTTCAGCATTGGATCCTAAGCCTCCCTGGCGAGATCCCAAGAGTATTTTAGGATTAGGAAATGCTCTCACACAGGGTCTGAGGGTTCTGCTAGCCCATGGCTCATAGTCAGACTTTTGGGCACCCTAGATGCTGTCTGCATAGTATTTCAGAGAATTACTCCTAAGAGCTCCAGCCAAAGCTGTTTTTCCTTCTGAGATGTGGGCCTTCTCTACGTCAGTGAAAAGTACAAACCCATCACTTACACTTTTCTGGTTAGTTGCTGCCTTTTCTGACACTACTACCAGCCTTTCTCTTTGCAGAGCCAGGAGAGACATCAGGGACCAGAGGACAAAAGCACAAAGAGGTTGACTAGGGCTGCCTTAGGGATTTATGAATATTTCACATTACCATGCCTTGTCTGCTCAGTTATTCAGAAGGCCATCCATGTAAAGGCAAAAAGGCTGCTTTTTGTATCTGGTCACTCAGCAATTAAGTGGGGATTTGGTTTTATGAGGAATAATGCTGAAGACCACAGTAAAATAAGGTATACTATACAGATTGATCTACATATCCTGGTTTAGATGAGGCCATTAAAATTTTCTTGACCATAGGACATCTGTTTGTATGTGTTGCTAAGATTCAAAAGCTTTGCCCTAAAGTTTTATTGTAATTTGTTATTGAGAAAGAGGGCCTCACAAACAGCAAAGCAGTTGTAAATGTTTATACCAAAAACTACATCCCAAGGTTTGGTACGAGGTGTTCCTAGATCCATGATTTCAGGTTTGGATAATCTTGGCCCAGCCCTGTTCTTCTAGATCTAATATGAAACTCTGAACTCACTCCAAGAATCTAAAATATAGACAACATGTGCTTGTTTAAGGGACATTTTCCTGTTATGCAAAAATTATCTCCCTCCTTCCCCACTCCTTATTCCTCTTCCTCCCATCTCACGTTCTTTCACCATCTTTAAGCAGGAGAAATAAAAAGGAACTGAAATATAAAGAAGCTGTCCTGCTGGTGGTATAGGACTGGGTGAGGGAGAATTACTGACATCTGGCCACCCTCCTCCGAGGCCCTCACATCTGTTGCAGTGGGGATTTCAGTTAGTTAGGGTCCTGCAGTCCTAACTGCCCTAGGATCATTCAGAACTGACTGCAAAATGAGAAGCAGCCCAGTAGTTTTTAAACTCTAAATCTTAAAGGGTCCCTAAGGGTGAAAATCTGGATAGTTTTGCGAGACCAGATACCAACAGGTCTCTGGTACTTTAACAGAATAACTTTACAGTGGCGCCTGTGGCTCAAGGAGTAGGGCGCCAGCCCCATATACCAAAAGTGGTGGGTTCAAATCTGGCCCTGGCCAAAAAAAAAAAAAAAACCAGAATAACTTTAAAAGGAAAAACAGTGATTGGTTTTATAGGAAAGAAAGCTTTCCAAGGACGGGAACATACATACTTTGCAGTTATAGTCTCAAAGCTCTCAAAATGCCAGAATAACACCAATTCAGGTTCCATTAATTCTCGTGAACCCTGAGTCCAGTGACCTAAAGTCTGAGGTATTAGTATTTCTCCTCCAAAGAACCTCACACCAATTGTGCTCATTGCATATTTCAGGAACCTACTTCTCTCTTATCTTCCCATCACTGAAGACTAGGGCTGAAAAGCATCACTGCCCTTTTTTTTTTTTTTTTTTTTTTGAGTGAGTGACCGTGTCCTTGAGCCTAACAATGAAAGAATCACCCAGTTGGTTCTGTTTAGTAAATAGCTAATCATGTGAAACCAGCTGATGGAGCCCCAGGAAACCATTCTAAGAATGTGTGCCCCCTAGCAGCACAATTCACAATTTTAAGGGTGTGGCCACAACCTAAATGCCCCTTAATACATGAGTGGATTAATAAAATGTGGTATTTGTATACCATGATGTACTACTCAGCCATAAAAAAAAATTGATGATCTAGTATATTTTGTGACAACCCAAAGGGACCTTTTTTTTTTTTTGAGATAGTCTCACTTTATTAACCTTGGTAGAGTACAGTGGCATCACAGCTCACAGCAACCTCCAGCTCTTGGGCTTAGGCCATTCTCTTGCCTCAAGCCTCCCAGGGGTGGGTTCGAACCGGCTACCCTTTGCTTATGGGGCCAGCACCCCACCCACTGGGCCACAGGCCTGGAGGAACCTTCTAAGTGAAGTATCCAAGAATGGCGAAACAAACACCACGTGTGCTCAGTACTAAATTGGAACTAGTCTCTCCACACCTACATGCACATAGGAAGATAAAACTCAACAGGAATCAGTAGGTGGAGGGGGAGGAGAGCTTGGGTTAATTCACACCTAACAGGTAAAACGCAAACATTCTGGGTGAAGGGCACACTTACAACTTTGACTTGAAATGTACAAAACAAACTATGTAAGCAAATCGTGAGCACCCTGTAATATTCTGAAATTAGAAAAGAATGTGGCTGGGCACGGTGGCTCATGCTCGTAATCCCAGCACTCTTGGAGACTGAGGCGGGAGGATCACCTGAGCTCACAGATTCAAGACCAGCCTGAGCTAGAGCAAGACCCCTGCCTCTAAAAAAAAAAAAAAAAAGCCAGACATTGTGGCAGGCGCCTGTAATCCTAGCTACTCAGGCGGCTGAGGCGAGAGAATCACTTGAACCCAGGAATCTGAGGTATGACTCCTTGACACTCTACTGAGGGAGTGGGGGGAGGGGCGACAAAGTGAGACTCTATCTCAGAAAAAAAAAGAATGTGTGGCCCTTGAACAAAATAGCAAGTTATGAGTTTGAGGAGGCAAGAGAAAAACAACAGAGCAAACCAAACCTGCAAACCCTAAGAAATACCACTGAGTTGGAGTTTCCAGGTGGTGGATCTTTAGCAGTCCTCTCAAGCCTCATTACTTATTTGCCTCCCTTTTGCTGTCTTTGTTTTTTATAAACACCTTCCAATGGTAAGGGAAAATAAAAACAGGAAACCCAATGTCTTAAGGGAGGTATTAACTCAGAAGTGGACATTGAGTCCTGTCAGAATTTAGGAAGCAGACAACTGCCTCTGAAGGTTTCTTTGAGTTCTAAGTTCTGGTCTCTGATGATCGCAAGGCTATGCTGGCCAATTTGGTGGCTCATGCCTATAATTCCAGCACTTTGGGAAGCCAAGGCAGGTGGATCACTTGAGCTCAGGACTTCGAGACCAGCCCGAACAAGAGTGAGACTCTCATCTCTCCTAAAGGTAGAAAAACTAGCAGGGGCGGGGTGGGGGTGGATTGTAGCTAGCGCCTGTAGTCCCAGCTGCTTGGGAGGCTGAGGCAAGAGGATTACTTGAGCCCAAGAGTTTGAGGTTACTGTGAGTTACATGCCATGGCACTCTACCCAGAGCAACAGAGTGAGACTCTGCCTCAAGAAAAAAAAAAAAAAAGACTGTACTGAGCTATAACTTAATTCTCATAAAAATTTAGCATTTTATATGTTTCTACATAGGTTTCTAGGGTGGTATGGCTGGAGATGACAGTATGAAAAGCCCTAAATTCTCTGAGAAGACATCATCTCTATTTTGAGTGAAAATATTCTTTCTAAAACTTGAATACTGTTAGAAAAGAGGTCTCAACACAGGAAGTGTCATCTTAGCTTCATATATAACCTCAAAACCACCTGAGTCAGAAACTCCTCTATACTCATTTTCCACCCAAACCACAAGATCCTTTGTTAGTCAGTCACCCTTAATAATGCCAAGGTATCTTCCTTTAGAAATGAACTTTAGCATGTATTCCTCTCCCTGCTTAAACAAACAGATATACTTGGCCACTTTGGTAGAACTTGGTAACAATGCCAATAAGGAAACAACCTACAAAGGAAAACATCAAAAATGGTTTTCGTTATCACAGTTTTGCAGAGATAAGATTGCTTACACAGCGGTTCTCAACCTGTGGGTCGCGACCCCTTTGTAACAATGAAATTACATCCTACATAACAGATATTTACATTACGATTCATAACAGTGGCAAAATTACAGTTATGAAGTAGCAACGAAAATAATTTTATGGTTGGGGGTCACCACAACATGAGGAACTGTACTAAAGGGTCACAGCGTTAGGAGGCATTAGGAAGGTTGAGAACCACTGGCTTACAGGAAGTTATACATAGGCATTGTCTGAATACCTATAGGTGAAATGAATGCCTCTGAAAATGGTAATTCCCACACCGTCAGTGGGATATTCAAGATAGACTGTCCCTTGACACATGTCATAGAGGGGACAGGTGCCAAGAAATGAGGCTGGTTTTGAGATGTAACATATAAGGTTATTTGAGAGTCTGTGAGTGGAAATAAATAATGCTAATGATCTCAGTAAATTGTAAAGATTTCCAGTTAGTTTTTGAGCTTGAGGATCAGGACACCACAGACCTGACCAGGATACTGGCAACTGGGAGATGAGATAAATTTTAATAAAAATAACCCTGCCAAAGGGACTAGAATATGTTTTCAAGATATCTAGTAATTGGCTCGGCGCCTATAGCTCAACCGGCTAAGGCGCCAGCCACGTACACCTAAGGTGGCGAGTTCGAATCCCCAGCCCGGACCCGCCAAACAACAATGACGGCT